GATGGATTTAAAATAAGCACGAGTTTTCTCGAAAAGTGTTCGAGTGGTTTTTTTGTTATTGCAATTCAGATTGATTTAAATTGATACACTAATTGGTGTCTCCTCAGACTATCTGGGAGAGCACCCCAGGTAATGATAACAGGGGACCAGTCCGTGAAACGTACACGATTTGCTTAATATTAATAAAGATACATGTACATGTATTTCACATACCCAAGATATTTTTAGTATTAGACTCTAATAGATATTTCATAGACTCAAGATATTTCTAGTATAAGACTCTGATAAAGATATTTAAAAAAACCATACTAACAATCTTAAAGGAAGAGAACTAAACAAATAAAATAATCTTCCTTTGAACAATGTGTCAAATCTTAAAACACTGATTAAAAATAGAGCCAACGACGTGGTGTGGTAGTAGTGGAATGGAGACTGTTCTTCCGCAGCTCGGATACCGATAGGTATACAGGGCGTCCTACTAAAGACAATGGACGTAGTTAAGGGGAGGTGGTGGGTCCCACCATGGATGGTAGGTTTAAGGTATATTTAGTACACTGTTTTTGCCTGATGCGGTTTCGTCGAAACAAAGATATCAATTTTACCCCCTGAAGTATTAATATGGGCACACTGATCACTTAACGTCACAATAACGTTACAGAAAGGAAGCAACATTACTGGGCATTTAAAGTTGTACAATGTATGACAAGCAACGTCACGAGAAAAACAAAGTGAGAGGCACAATTAACTGCCATAGGGCAATGAACGCAAGTGGATCAATGCCATTTTGAAATTGACCTCCCGCCTCGACTAACATGAGACAACCGTTAGAAGCAAACATTTTGGTGACGTTACGCTGTTCAAGGATTCTCGTTTGCAATGACGAAACAGACATTTCAATATCGATAACATAAAGAATATCTTTGTTTAGATCAATAATAACGAACAATTTAAAATATAAATATAAGGATTGAACGACTTTCTTTTCAATGTTCATGTTAGTGTGAACGCAAACCGGTTACAAACATATTTATGTTTATGAACAGATTTGCGTTCATACCAGCATGGAATTGAAAATAAATGCCGTTCAATCCTTATTCGTGCCGTACATGTGGTATGTAATACTTAGGACAAACATATACTACTGTAGTGAACATACAAGTGTCACTAGTTATTTAAAACTACTACTTCTCGATTAACTACGTTAATTCAAGAGACTGCTGCCATATATATATTTAGGACATTACTGGAAGAAACCAAGTGACATCGGGACACAGGCTATTCTATCATCGTTTTAACATACCTTTTATATCGAACCGCCATTGAGAACTTGTTAAATTGTTGTTTATATTTAGCGAGTGTGACGCTGCTTGTAAACCGGAAGTGAGTCGCCGATTGGAATGTAATGTAAAGCTAGGCCTTTTAAAAAGAGCTTCTGTGTCTATTTATAAGCTAGATGATAAAATCATAGGAATATGGCTGATATTTAAATATTATCTACAAGTTTAACTAGAACACTGACAGGTCAGTAAGGGCTCCGTCTTGTGGCAATATATCCCCCATAATCATCTGCCCATATAGCTGAGCTTGACGTTTGACATTTGGACTTCAAAAAGAATCGCAAGGAAGCAAAATATACATTTTACATGTACTATGATATGAGTCTTGTTTCCTTCCACCTCCATATTTGCTGGGTTAACAGAAATGTACAACCGGTGCAACACTCATTTGTTTGTTTTGATTTGTTTTATTTCACCTTATATACCTCCTCCATCGAGAGACAGGGTCAAAGTCAGAGATCCACTTTGTCTTTGACCTTTGGACCCAAATGACCTTGATCATTAACCCAGTGACCCTGAACTTTGGTCAGTTGACTTATTCTTTAATTCCGACCAACTTTTCTTCTTGATATCATAACAAAATGTTCATCAGTGAAAAATACAAAACTTGACTTTGACCCTTTGGACCCCGTAACCTTGACCTTTGGTCAGTTGACTCCTTGTTTAATTCTGATCAACTTTGCTTCATCATGTCATAACAAAATGTTCATTAGTGAAAAGATGCAAATTAGACTTTGACCTTTGTATCTAATGACCTTGACCTTTGACCTCGACTTTTTACCTCATTGTGTTTCTTGTTTAATTCCGAAAAACTTTGCTTCATAATGTCATAGCGAAATGTTCATCAGTGAAAAGCTACAAAATTTGACCTTGACCCCTGATCTGATGACCTTGACCTTTAGTCAGTTGACTCCTTGTTTAATTCTGATCAACTTTGCTTCATAATGTCATAACAAAATGTTCATCAGTGAAAAGATGTAAAATTTGATCTTGACCTTTGAACCTAATGCCCTTGACCTTTGACCTTGACTTTTTACCTCAATGTGTATTTTTGTGAACGGAACATCTTGACCAAGTTTCATGTACATTTGTCAATAAATATTAAAGTTATCAGTCAGGAACAGAATTTGTGGACAGACAGACAGACAGACAGACAGAGTGATTACTATAGGGCACCCGTATCTCCGTTACGGGGCCCTAATAATACAAGAAATGTTCTAGATTTATTATGATAATAATGATCATTAGAACAATCTGTCTAGCCTTATCGCGCCATTTTTTGTGTAACATTACGCATGTCGTCTGCTATTCTTGCAAGACAAACTGAGACCGAAAGTGTTTTGTATTTTAGGTTGTCCTTATTGATTTGATCGTTAAGTTATAATAATAAGAATAAGGACAGAAAGAGGACACATGTTAAGAAACTGTTACTTTGTAAATACTAGATTTATAATGCGAGAGGGTGAGGAACATTTTGTGAGAGTTGATCTGAGAAGCGATTTGATTGGTTGAGATGGATAATGTGATCATTTGAGAAAGGTATAAAAGGAAGCGCGAAAGACGTTCATGTCAGACAATCTTGACTAGGACTGGTACAATACTATTCACACTCGAATACGAAATCCTTTGTGAGATATTGACAACAGCACGACCGACAAACCCGTAGCAGCATATTTCAATAATACTGGACACAATCAACATGACGTCACAATCAAAGGAATTACGACCGACCTTTGTGATGACAATTCAGGATGGTAGAGACGTGGATCTACTTACTACAAACCAAAGCACCGTGATTTTTTTTTGCACTCAGTGTTAATCATTCAGCATCATCAATAACAATACCGTGACAGTGTGCGTTTTCATTATTATTTGTTTATGATTGCTATTGCCAAGTAAATAATAATTATATAAATACCATTATGAATATATATTTTTTATAAAAAACACCTTTCTTAATATTTTTGTTTTGTTTTTATTTTTATTTTTATTTTTTGTAGCGTTATTCTATATATAATATATATCATATTATACATTACGAGAACATGATATATTTTGGCATTCTTTTTCTTTATACTTAATTATGTTTTCCAATACATATAATGATAATAATGTGAAGTATGTTTTAAATCACATAGGTTATTAATGAAATAATATAATAATATATAGCAAAAAAAGAAATAAAAATATGTTTTGATATGTTTCATTTAAATAATATATCCAATATTTGAATGCAACAATAATAATTTATTATATAAAGAGATCGAAATAAAAGATAAACAAAACTAAATATACCATTATATTTAGTATTTAGATAGATTATAAAAAGTTATCCATTTAAAAAAAACACTGTGTTGGTCATTGTAATGAGCTGTCTTGATTGAAATGTTCATCATAATGCTTGTTGTCTTTTTTTTTATATATCCATTCATAATTTCAAGTACATATTACATTTACTCATTACTTTGTCCATTTGTTCATATTCATCTTTCATTCCATTCATCTATAAATCTATCCATTCACATCTCCAACTATTCATTCATTTATACCATATACATTATATGTAAGTTCATAATTTTTCCATGAAATACTTGATTGTACTTTTCCTTTCGTATAAGTCTTCAAGCCTTGATTCATTTTCTTTTATTTTTACCTGTTCATTTTCTGTTAGATTTATTTTCTTATTTAAGTGGTTTAACCTATTTTCCAATATTTCAATATCAGACTTTCGTTGCTTTGATTTGTTAACACAATAATTAATAGTTTCGTGTTTGAACATTGTCTTGCAATAATCCCATGTTGTTCTCTTATTTAAATTCTCCTTGTTACATATTTCAATTGACTGCTTTAAACTGTCTTGTATTATTATATTATATTCTTCATCTGCTAAAATACTATTATTTATTTTCCATACACCCGGCCCCTTTTTGTCACCTATAAATAGTTTCAGTGATATTGCTTGATGGTCTGTAGATTTAATTTGAGCTGGACGGATATCTGCTGATTTTATAATACTGCAATTTCCCTTTTCTGTTAAAAAATAGTCTATTCTACTTGCAGCCCCTTGTCTGTTTCGTCTCCACGTATATTGTATTCTATCTGTGTTCTTATGCCTCCAAATATCTAATAAGTGTGCTGTTTGTATCAATTGTTTAAGTCCATATGTTATATTTTTATGTCTAATCTTTCCTATTGTTTTTCTGTCTCTTTGATTAAGTACCTCATTAAAATCACCCCCAATAATTGTACTTCCTATACTCTTTTCCTTTATTTCTTTTGTTACTAATTTAAAAAAAGCGTTCCTTTCATTTTCAATATTTGGTGCATATATATTTACTAAAGTAAACATTTTATCACCAATTTTCAAATTCATTAAAATATATCGACCATTATCAGAAATACTGTGGTTAATAACTACAGCATTAAGTGATTTTTTTATAAGTATCGATACTCCTTTACTGTTTCGTTCCCCATAATTATGGAAACAATGTAATACTTCATTTACCTCATTATCTATTACATCACATAATTCATTAGTGAAGTGTGTTTCTTGTATCATTAATATGTCAGTTTGTTGTTGTTTTAACCATTCGTATGTTCTCAGTCTCTTTCCTTTGTCTCTTAGCCCTTGTACATTAAGGGAGAGAATATGTATATATTTCTTCATCGTGTATTACCATCATTCTCTCCTGTGCCTTTCTTTGATTTTTTTGCGTCATTCAATTCTGTTGCTGAAGGCGGTCTTTTTTTTGACAGGCTTCTCGTTCTGTCTTGCCCCGGTGTTTTAGAACCTTCCTTAGCTGAGACTAAAAATTGTTTGATTGAGTTTGTCTGTCCATTTCTATCTTTCCTTGATGTTCTATTCTGTTGTTTTTTCTCTGTTACAGTATTGCCAGTCTCCGCCTTATTTTCGTTGTCTCGTTGTTGATTGTCAGTTTCGTTGTTTGTCGCTGTCTCTGTGAATATCTCTGCCTCTGTCTCTGATTTCGACTCCGTCTCTGACTCAGACTCTGTCTCTGACTCAGACTCTGTCTCTGACTCATTCATGTCCTTGGTACAATCTTGTCGTTTATGTCCTCGTTCCTTACAGATGAAACATGTCCAGTCATTCTTACAATCTATCGTACTATGTCCTGTCTCTAGACATTTGTTACATTTTTGTTCTGGTTTTTTTTCTGTCTGTCTTTCCGTCTTTGGTTGTCCGTTATACCATATGGTACTGTAGTATTTTCCGAGTCGTAGCGTTCTCGGCAGTTCTGATGTCAGTTTTTTACAAACACTATACGATCTCCTGTGTCACAATTGGTAAGTTTATTGTTAATTCTGAGTTTTTCCCTGTAAAGGTCTAGTATAACACATCCTTGCTCCGCAAGGCCTCTGAGGCAATTTAAATTTCTAATGGCGCCGACAAAAACTAAGCCGAGGAGAGCCAGCAACAAACCACTGAAAACACAATAGAAACCGCGAATTCCATGCATCAGATGTGGAAAGACTTAACACAACCACTCGGTCACTCACCTCAATGTGGTACCGATACAAGATTTACAAACGATGAACGATAGAAAAGAGACATACACAGCCCACGTTAAAAAGGTACATTCAGGAGATCAAGTGAAACTAGACATTTTTGAAGAACAATCCGGAAATGGGCCAAAAAGCCCGCACTATTGAATATATCCTCATAAGCTCTACCTAGAGATCAACTGATACAGCCCAAATCTTGTACCACACCAGGACTATGATTAACTACCAGCGGGCCGCTTCCAAGATACGCCCGATACTGGACATAGCCATGGAGACCCTCAAGAAAAATATGGAAATAAGTGATTCTGAGGACAGTGCAAGTGAGTCGAACATATTCGAACACAGTGAAGACTGATGGGTAGACTACAAAAGGTTGAACTATTTATGCCAGTCGGACTTCGAAACCATTCTGTGCTTAGACGAACACGTCTGTGAATTTATACTTTAGTTGGTATAAAGTAGTATATAAATGATAATATTCTATATCAAATAGACAAAGTTAATATTAATGTTGAATTCAAGAGTGGTATGTAAAATTGAAAAAAGCAAATTTCATTTAAAATAAGGGTTCATGGAAATGCAAAGTTATATTGCAAAATATATCATCAGTAAAGTTATACATTTCTATAAACGACATTAAAATACACCAGATAGAGGTAATTTATTAACAGTAACTGATCAACTATTATAATTTTTGAATATTTAAGCATTGAATTAAAGGGATAAAAGAGGATTTTTTAATATTTTTTGGGGGGAGAATATGACGAAAGGCACAAATAAAACATAACGGAGATCAAAACTATAGAGCAATAAACGTGATCAAAAGTCACGTCGCTAGAAGACAAACAAACCACATGCTTTTAGTAATCGAAAAACGCAAAATCATTTTTTTTATGCAAAAAACAAAGGGAAGATACCATGAAAGTACAAAATCGTTAAACGAGCTAAAATGATCAAAGTGTGAACAGGATGAGAAATTAATGAAAACCTGTAGTACTTTTTGCATTAAAAAAAGACCTTCATATTATCTTGATCAAGTGAGTTAATATTTTTGTATAAATGTTGGAGACGAATTTCTTTAAGGAACGTTATTTATATACTTGCTTTAGTATTAAATAAACCAATTTATAAAACACATGGTAAATAAAACGAAGGCATTGGTGAAATTGATCTAAATTGAAGGTAATGCTATGTAGCGTATCAATATGTGTTTTTTTATAAAAATTATCGTTTTTTTTAAAGATAGAGAATATCTTGGAAAGGTCACTTTTTCCATGTGCATCACTTGTTCTTGGTTTTCGGGGTATTCCCCCTATAGGCGAATATATAGAGTAAATTTTTTAAAATCATATAAACATTACGGTGCATTTTAAGAATATGCAAAAGTTAGTATGAAATAAATGAATATTTTAGTACTTAGTCAAAAGTTTAGAATAAGCACTGTCAATATCATCGAGTATTGTTGTTTGTTTTTCGAAATATGATGAATTTTGAATTTTTGTGTTTCAAACAAACTTGCAGCAACATGTAATCGTCTGATCTGTGGTCAAAGCAATGCTTGAAAATCATGTAAAGAATTCAACAGAAATCACCAAACAATAATGATAGAAATCAGTGCTGAAGGAAGCCCCGAGATCCCTTAGATTGACTTCCAAGTATTTTATTAAACTACAAGTCAGATTGTTTATATATATGATATAGCATAATGCAATAAATAATAAATCAAACTGGTATAAGTCTGCATCATGGTTTATTTTTATTGATTATTTACCTGAAAAAATCCATGTTAATTCGGACAATGAGAATAATTGTTGACGATCACTTCATCTTAAATCATCAGTTGCTAGGGACTAATGTCATTTAAAACCACAAATAAACTGCTATAAATCAGGAATTTAAATTTAAAAGTCAAATAAGATGTCCACAAACAGCTGATAAACGGTGGGACAGTCCATCCGATAAGTTTACGGATTTTTCCGAAGACGACATCGTTTACTGTTTACACGTGCAACCTGAATCACACCTGCAGGTTCTTGGTCCAGTACAGCCAACACCACACGTGCAGGAACCTGAAATGTCATATATGTCAACATGACATAAGCATGATTGTTCTAAATTCATCGTTAGTTTGACCCATGGAAAATATTAAATACATGTATAAACTTTTACAGTAAATATGAAACAATTTTGATAAACAAAATTTCTACAATCAATAATCGTATGACATATACCATAAACAGTTGTTTTTTATTTGGACACTTCTGGTGTTAACAAAGATAAAAGATGTCAATAATCGTTTGATATTCTAAGAATGTCGTCTATTATGCGGGATAGAATGTTTAACTACGGATATTTTTTTTCTCATGGGGTATATATTGAAGTCCATATTAAAAATCATTGTTTTAGTTTATATACAAGGGATTTAAAGGATACAAATCGACAAATTAGGTTCTCACTTAGTCAGATAACACTTAATTTAAAAACATTATTTGAGCTCACGAAGTATTTTATCAAAAGGTATGTTAACTTAACTGAGTTTATTATGACTAGATTTAGATAGCGAAATATAAGGTGCTTCTGAAACCTTAAAATACAGAACAGTTGTAATCCTACCTACATTTAGTTGAACTAAAACATCCAAAAAAGTACTGACGTCTCTCTTTACCACGCATAGTATAACAATTTGAAGGTTGTAAATAAGTCAGCAGGTTTCTTTAACACGAATCAATATAACAAAGCAACCATCAAGGGACTTAAAGGAAGTTGTTTTACCCAAACGTTGTTTTAATATGAGAACAAAGAGTTTCATATGATCATTACACATCTACATTATTAGTCGAAATAGAAAGATTATGACTTGGAATAATTTGGAACAGCTCGTAGCATTTATCACTAAAACGAGAATTTACCTTTCCTTGATTTTGTTCACCCAATATGTGATATGCCTCCATACCAAAGTTGTTTGGTATATAAATATACTAAGTACATCAATGTAAACGAGTTAATACTATGTTGTACTTGTCTATGTAAATCGATAGGAAAATCGAGACAAAAATATTTTCTATTCTTCACACTTGTGCATACCTATTATATATTGATGCTTTTTAAAAAAAGGTTACTTTTGCGTTGAAAAAGCTTCAATATTTTGGATACATTTTATATAGAGACATTTCATTTGCTGATAACACTGTCTTTCTATTTTAAATAAATCCCAATATAGTAATTCCTCCCACTGGTGTTCGTCATATTCCCGCATAACCGGTTCATGTTTGTTTACAAAACGGTTTAGGTACTTACCAGCTGCGCAGTTACATCTGCATGCTGGACATGCACACTTTCCGCTGCATTGGCAGGCCCTGGTTCCACAACATTGTCCTGACTGGCACTCCACGGAACAGACGAAGTTGGCGCCTAAAATGGAACTTAATCATGTAAGATTTGATATATTATACCCCACTGCGCATTCTGTTTTGTATTCTTATGGGGTTGTTTGTTTGTTTATATTCGTGTATGGGTGAGTTAGAAGATGTGTGCGTACTTGTGAAGGGTAGTGAGAGTCAATGATGGTGCAGAATGCAACATAATGAAAATTTAACTTGAACTTATAATAATAATTAGAGTTCTAGATATGCTTTAAAATATTCAAACATATTTGTAACAAATTGACATATTTGTAACAAACTGATATTACGTGAAACATATCTGTTATGATACAATAACGACAACTCAAGTACATTCAATCATCTCCATTATTTACGGTATATCACGTTAAGTACCGGAAATGACAATATGTGGCAGGAACTTAAGTAAAGTTTCCTTGAGCTACCTCACACTGAACATTTGATATTCAATCCATTAGCACCTGTCATAGTCCCTCCGTTATCAATTAACCTACTACGACCTAAACTGCTGAGACCATAACAACTTAGCATAAATCCCAGTGTCTCGCCTACCAAAATGTTATCACAATGAATAGCTGAAGCTGATTCAAATCACCCTACACCTGTTATTTTGTAACATTTTAAATCTTCCCCACTGATCACCCCATACAAATAGGACTGTTTAACAATGTCTTCAACCGATCATAACATATAAACGGTCAAGTAGTGAAGAGCAGCATGACAACAAACCACACATATAGCTTTTCATTACAATAACACTTAGTATAATGCGGAGTATTTAAGCAATGTTTGAGCTTGCTTTTTATGGTAACTCTGATTTTAAACTTCAATTACATAACAACATTTAATACACATTACCTCCACATTTGCATCCGGCCTTGCAGTAAGGACAATTACATGCTGCGCTGCACTTGCATCCACATCCACAAGCAACCCCCATCTTACAAATTCCATCTGGACAAGTCGCATTCTTTGCCGCTTAATTAGAAACGCATTTACATAATTAATATACTTAATCGCTCTGTACATTCAGTGGATATAATACCATGCTTTACATATTTAGAAGGGAACTAGTAAAAAGTACATCCTCCTCATGTTATTACAGATCAGTTGTTTAAAACAAATAAGAGGAACATGTAAAATTATAATTTGTTATTGTGGAGATTGCAGTATGTGCGATATTGTTAGCAATACAACTTTAAGTTAGTTATACATATAAAACATTTGATACTTTCTCAATTTACGTTTATATATAAACATCAGATTCAAATCTTATTGAAACTTACAGAAGCATCCACAGTTGACCTTACATCCGGGACATCTACAGTTGGTGCTACAGCAAGCCGAACCTGTACAGCCACACCTTCCGCCCGGACACTTGGCACAGAAGGCAGCTGTGGGGGATGAAAATTATGGTCAATTTTATTCGTCTGTATGTTCAGGAACAGAAAAGTTCTCATTCCTAAATTTCAAACTTGATTATGTTTTTAGGCCTATTGAACCAACTGTTGATATTATATTTTATTCATGAAATATGTTAAAGGCAAATATTTGTTTATAAGTGTGCATTTTGTATCTTCTTTATTTATAACTGTCACTGAAGGAATACTTTTTCTCGTGTTTTGCAAAGCGCCTTAGAGTAATTTTGTCAATTACATTGGGCGCTGTATAAATGTTTTATATAAGTATTATTAACCTGTTGTTAGTATACAGTATTTAACAAGAGAATATTTGTTAGCAGTCACCCCAGATGTGAAATAAAACTGTTCTTTTTTGTCATGATCTTTAACAATTCTTGAATCAATTAAATTATGTAATACGGCATACGTCTTTTTCTAAAGTACCCAAAGGGATATTGCGTGTAGCTAT